GCTGTAGGTGAAGGTTCCTGCATATGGAGGTAGAGTGCAGAGACTTTGCATGTTAGTCTGTGAGTAGAGCTTACAAAGCACTCAGCATTACAGGGTAAAGGAGGAGGAAGGCCATCTACAGCAGCACAGCAGAGAAAGTATATAGTTGGCTATGGGTTGAAAGGACCTGTGGACAAGGGCTGAGATTGACCTCAGCTAGCTGTCCTGAGTGAGGGTTTATGATGTTCTAGCCAACCTAATTACCTCAGGATAATCCACAAACATTTCTGCTTTATGATCGAAAATATTCCTTTTCAAACAAGAGCCATTGTGTCTGCTTGCGATTAGCTCCTTTGTCTATAAAAACACAGCTAAACACGGCTAAATACACACATCTGCAATCTGTCCTTCCCTTTGCTTTTCTCTCAGGAATAGTCACCATATTAAAAATCAATTATGTAAATGCTCTGCTAAGGTAAATCAATTAATTTAAAAAAAGTTCTAAATTAAATTTCATTTGCAGTGATGAATTAATATGAGTTAATTTCACTTGTTCTTATTAGTAAAAGACCATTTAACCTCATTCCATTTTCTTTAAGATAAACTTTGGTTCTCAAACGTCAAAATCATGCTTAACTGCAATAATACTACTTTAGCCTATTGATAATAGTTATCAATGTTTTTGATTTTTACTAATTTGGTTCAGTTTTTAAACAGAAATATGATTGACCTGGAGTGAATTACTTTTGCTAATAAATTCTTATATTTTGTTTTGAAGTTGCAAATTTATTCAATATATTTTCTGAGTTAAACTATGATTTGAGCTTCAAAAACACTTTAATTTTTTGTCTTAGCACACAGCTAGTTGGGTGTAAGTCATAGGAAAGTGTGTGAAAGTTCCAAAGTTATTTAAATAAACGAATATTAAAAAGGCATGAATGCATACAAATGCACAACACAGTGTATGTAAGTATCAGGTTTCATCTACAGATTAGAGCGCTTTGCCAAGGAATAACATTTGCATTTTTTTTCTGCAGGTCTGAAATGCAACCCAAGCTTAGAGATGACCAGCTAATTTACGACGGCCGACTGCTGAACTACAGCACAGATCTCTCAGCAGCTGTTAACACCGTGTTGAAAGAGAGCCGACTCCTATCTGGCACAAAGTGATGAATGAAAGTCATTGGATGTACTCTGGTGCTAATGCTAATACTGACTTGAAAGCTTTGCTTTACATAAAAAAAAAACATTTTTGATAA